CCTCTGAGCCCCTCCTCCCCCTCCTCCTCCCTGCCTCTGCGCTCTGGCTCATGCTGTGTGCCTGCCTGGACCTCCACTCCCCTTAGAGCGTGCTCCGAGGCCTGGGTTCGCGCACTCATCCTAAACCTCTAGCCCACATCACCTCTCCTCCTCCTGAGCTCCTGGCGGCCCAGGACAATGTCACATCCTTTAATTCTTTCACCATGAATTCAGAACCAGAGGCCATGTTCCCGTCCAGGAGACCCAGGGCGTCAGCTGCTCAAGGGCAGAGCCCCGCTGCCTGGGCCCCTGGCCTCCCTGACCCTGGCCAAGCCCCCATTGTCCAGGGGAGGGGCTTCTTCAGCAGGAAGGACCTGAGCGGGCCCCGAGGCTCTGTGTGGTCACACCCAGGCCTTTTCTCAAGTGTGTGGCTCCCTCTGGATCTTGATACAGTTTTGAATTCCACTTTTCTCGGTCTTCATGGGATCCATGGGCGGCTTCTGTGGCTCTGAGGCAGGTGAGCAGGAGGCCTGCCCGCACTTGGAGGTGTCTGAAAGTGGGGGTCTCTGAGCCCTGCCATGCAGCTTGAGTCATCGCATGAAATGGATATATCATTTCTAATTTATGCTAAGTATGGCTATGGGGGCTTCTCGTGAAGATGGTGATTGAATCTGATTTCGTTCTCTCAAAAAACCCACGTCAGCTAACACTCCATTTAGGAGATTTTTTAAAAAGGACAATAGCAACCACACTGTGGAAGCGGGGAGCGGGCAGACGAGGGCCCTGACCTAGGTGCCAGAGTTCCTGATGCCCCTCTGTGTCCCAGGCAGGTGGGACCCACAGAAGTATGCACTTCCTCTGGGGGCTGAAGCGGGGTTGCGGTATGTTCAGAAGTAGAAAATGTAGACTGGTCGCAGCCTCGTTCATGCGGGACTCTGGGCAGGGGCCCCCCCTCATGAAGCCCCAGGAGGGCCTTGTCCACCCTCGGGGAGGCTGAGGCCAGACCACGCCCCTGAGAGTGTCCTGAAGCCCTCGCCTTGCCGGGGACACTGCTCCCTGACCCCAGCTCCCCAGGATCCTGGATCTGTAAACTGCAGAGGCGCCGGATGGATTTGGCAATAGTCAGTGTGAGGAACACACGCACAGGATTCCAAAGCAACAAGAAACGAGGTAGAAAAACCAGGTGGACGCGGCCCACGCTCCCTGTTCCCCGTCCTTCACACCTAGGGTGGCCTCACTTACTTCTCTGGGGGAGCTCAGGGGCTTGACCCACCTGCTGTCCACCAGCTGGGCGGTGACTACAGGCCAGTCCCTAAGGCTCTGAGCCCCAGCCTCTCTATCTCTAAATGGGGCCACAGATCCCTGTGTGGAGGGTGTGTTGGCCACGCTTGCAGGCCCTGTGCTGTTTGATGTCTTATTCCTAATACCCTCTCCCTGAGTTTGCTGAATCGTAGGGCTAGATGGGCAACCAAAGCTGCGTACATCTCTGCGGGAGCATGGAAGTCCCGTTACAATGCCGACCTGCCGCTGTCCCCGTAGCTCCTAGGGGACGTCTCTACTTGCTTACTTCCCGTCACCATGGCCCTGAAGGCGTGTCCAGATTGGCCTCTCTCTGCTTCCTGACCCCTGTGTGGGGCAGGCCTGCGTGGCCCTGTGTGGTGTGCTGTGCCTCTCGTGTTGGGGGAGCTGTGAGGATGAAGAACGTCTCGCAGTGGCGTTTGCCTCTGCGTGACCACAGGAGTGGAGTCAGCACCACGCAGAGGGTCAATGGTGCTGTCCTGCTTCATGGGGCACCCCAGTGTGTGCACATATCGAGGTGTCCTCTGGGGCCGCCCTGGCCTAGTCAGTCTAAGCCACCTGCTCCCAAGCTTCTAGAGTGGAGACTGTTGGTGGCTAGGGCCAGATCTCAGACTGCAAGCTGCGGGCAGGGTGGGGTGGGTGGGGCAGTTCAGGTCCAGAACCCCAAGTCTCTGTCAGCCAGGAAGCCAGAAGGGGGAGGCCAAGGGCGGAGGTACAGCCTGCAGACTGGGTTAGACGTGTAGAAGCTGGGCGCAGGCAGAACCACAGCCTGCTGTAGGGAGAGACCTCCTGGGGGGAGAGGGCTCCCCCACTTATGAGCCCTCTTTTGAGCCTCACCTTCCTGAAATGGGAAAGTGAGATGGAAAAGTGTGCTTGTCCGCTGAAGAGGCTGGGGCAAGAACGTGGGTCACTGGATGGAATTGCTTAGTAAGCCACAAGGCTGGGCACACCTGGCATCACTTGGGTCCCTGGGGCAACCACTGGCATTCCCAAAACCCGTGGGGGGTTGGCGCAGTTGCTGGGGGAGGGGAGGCCCACCGTGGTTTTGGTTGTGTTCTCCAGGGCCAGCTGCATGAAGGTTTTCTCCCAGGTCTCCTCCAGGACATCACTGGCCCTGATGATCATCTCCAGGGTCTGGAACAGCCGGAACTTGTGCCTGCTGGAGGTCTGTGGGTGGCAGAGCAATGATGGGTTGGGGACAGATCAGGTCAGATGGTTCTTGAGATGTGGGCAGAGGTGTGGACGGGGAGGGTCCAAAGGAGCCATTTCTCTTTGCCACTTCACGGTCTGTGACTCCAGGCAAACCCCTTGGCTTCCGTATGCCTTAGGTCCCCCCCAGTGAGGGTCAGGATCGCCACCTCATGAGCGCATTCTGAGGGCAGTCAATGCATGTGGGTCTACTTTTCTCCCTCCCCACTTGGCCCATTTCACATATGAGGAAATCGAGGCTTGCCCCAAGTCATGTGGTTGTTCTATGCAGGACCCCGGGTTAGAGCCCACCTCTGGGTCCCACCCTCCCCTCTGCCCCCTGTGCCTGCCCCAGTGGCCCAAGCTGCCCCCACCTCCGGGTTGTCTATGAAGCAGTGGTGGATGGTTTCCATCACCAGCCTGGGGGAGCCATGAGCCATGTTCTTGACCTGCTTGATGATGTCTTCGGGCGGAAGGGATCTGCACTGCTCATGTCCCGCAGCATCTTGAAGCAGATGGCTCAGGTGGGCAGGAAGGCATGAGCATGAGCAGGCTGTGGGCAGGTCACATTGTGGCAGCAAGGCTGGGCGGGCAGGAGGGTGCTTTGAAAATGAGAACTGGGGAACGGATACACGAGAAGTCTGGGACCTCCTGACGGTCCAAATGGACGTTCTGGGGTTCAGCCTAGGTAAGGAGCAGTGGCGCAGGTGTGTGAGCACGTCCTCACTCACCATTCACACTCCCATCTGCCCATTACCCATGCCTCCCTCATCCACCTGTCCATCCAGCCATCTGTCCATCCACACGCTCCGTCTGTCCATCCTTCCATCTACGAATCCACCTGATCATCCATCTTTCCATTAATCTACCTGCCCATCCACCCATCTATTCCTAAATGTGTTCACCTGCCCACTCATGCATTCTTCCCTCCCTCCCCTCATCCATTCTTCCTATACCCTTTCACCGTCCATCTAGTCATCCAGCAGTCAACGGTGTTTGAACAACGGAGGAACCAGGCTTGGACTGAGGTCCGAGCTGTGAAAGCAAATGGGAGGATGGCGGAGGGTGGGGTGTAGGGTGAGCTGGGCATCGCTTGGGCTTTGGATAGTGCCTCAGGAGGCATGAAGAGGCCAAGCCGGGTGTGCAGGGCTCTCTGCTGAAAGCTTCACCATGTCCACACAGCTTGACACCCTCAAGGTCCTGGAGGGGAGACTCCTTCTGGCCGTCACCCTCATGACTGCTTTTCTTGGAGGGACAGGGTGGGATCTGCTGGAGCCTGACCCCATCTGGGGCTAACCCATGCCTGTCCTGTCTGAGCCGGGGCTGACGGTCACCTGCACTGCAGGCCTCCTCCATGAATACCCCGTGCTCCTGTGGCAGGAGTGCGGCCTGGCTGCTTTGCAACTCGTGGAGCAGGATGATGGTGGGGTGTGGCCGTCTGTCCCTGCGGGCAGAGTCCTGGGGTACCTCCATGCAAGACGAGTCCTTTGGGGATGTGGAGACAGCAGGGGAGATTCTGAAATGGAGGAGGGTCCTGAGAGTCGGCATCTGGGTGTGCGTGTTTCCGCATTAGTGGGGGGCACTATGTGCTGCGCTGGCTTCCATTGGGCTCAGCTACATCCTTCCATGTGTCTGTCCTTCCATTAAAGGGACTGGCTGGGCCCCGGGAGGAGGGCGGGGTCTCGAGGCCTCAGGGACACTGTTGAGTAGGTAGCATCACCTGCAGGCCTGGTGGGGCCTGGCCTCCCAGCAGGCATACGGTTCTGAGGTTGGGTTTGAGACAGACATGGCTGGTGGGACATGGCAGGGCTCAGGGTATGGCATCCCTCATTCAGACCACATGTGAGACTGCCCTGGTCACCCAGACATCACTGGAGGGGTCCCCAAGGGAAGCGGGGAGAGCTGTGGGAGCAGTGAGAACAGAGGAAGGGAGATCCAGCGCCTCCAAGCTGGCCTCTGCCTTCCTCTCCTCTCCTCCCTCCAAGCTGGCCTCTGCCTTCTCCTCCTCTCCTTCCTCCAAGCTGGCCTCTGCCTTCTCCTCTCCTCCCTCCAAGCTGGCCTCTGCCTTCTCCTCCTTTCCTTCCTCTTCTCCTGCTGTGGGGAAAGCACTGCCTCAGGCTGTGTTAGGGGCCATAAGGGGCCAAAAGAGACCATGTCGTTTTTTTGGGGGATGCTGCCCAAGCCTGGTCCCCTGTCATGACTCCTGCCAATGGGCCGCTGGGGCAGGAACAGCCTCCTGCTCCACCCACTTCCTGACCTTATTTGTTTGTTCACTCTCAGTACCCACTTCCCAGGTGCCTGCCATGGGTGGGGCATGTTCTGGCATTCTCCTGGAATGCCTCAATGAACGAGATAAACAAAGTCAGCAAATTAAATCAGTGAATTCTGTGGTGCATTAGAAGCCAGTTCATCTTTCAATATTTTACCCATTCATTCGTCCCACCATGGGAGGGATGCATGTTAGATCATGCCACTCAGAATCTGCTCTGCCTCCCATTTCACTCAGAGTAAAACTCAAAGTCCTGAAAATGACATGTAAGACACTGATACCTCCTCCATGAGGGCGTAACAAGGACCAGCTTCACCCTCCTGTCTTAACTCGAAAATTGGAAAACATATACAAAACCATGATTATCAGACATCAGACAACAGCAGCACAGGATGAAGATCTCTGAAAATGGAAAAGCAAGAAGGTGAGCCCAGCATGGCCACAGCCAGCTGCTGGGAAGTTTCCAGTTTGCAGCACGGGGAGAGGGAGCCCAATAAAGCCCAGCAGTCTCTCTGAGTTGAGGAAGTGGATGTGAAAGTCTGGGGGAGCCAAAGTGGCTGGAGTTTGCTGGGAAGGGTGACAGGAGAGAGCAGCATGAGGAGGAGAGAGTTCTGGGGTGTTGCAGGGGATCCCATGCATCCCCCGTCTTCATCTGAGCTCAGTGCACATGGGAAAACCATGAAGCCCCAAGAGGAGTAGAGGGAACAATCTTTGGAGCTTGCACAGGGCTAGCAAGAGCTGCTTTTCTCACCAGTGAGGGTGGAAAAGCTGGTAATTCACAGGGGATTAGGTAGCCTGCTCTGAATGGTATGACCTCAGTAATGGGGCAAAACAATCTGCCCTAAACAACACTGTTTTGGCTCTTCCTACCAAACTTTTAAAATCCAGCCTCAGAGGAACCAAACTTTTCAAGTAATTTAATTGTGTTCAAGAACAAACCTGAAGAATATTTACAAAGTACAGGAATATCCAGTACCCAACAAGGCAAAATTCACAATGTCTAACATCCAATCAGAATTTGCTAGGCATGGAAAGAAGCAAAATATATGATCCATAATGAGGAGAAAAAATCAATTAATTGAAACCAACACAGAAATAATATAATTAGTAGACAAGGACAGTAAAACAGTTATAACTATAAGGTTGGTGCAAAAGTAATTGTGGTTTTTGCCATAATTTTTAATAATATATTTCTCATGTTCAACATGGTAGAGCAAAACATTAGCATGGTAAGGAGAGACCTGGAAAATATAAAAAGATGAAGGATACATAGTTTAGCAGCAGATTAGACAATGTAGAAGCACAGATGAGTGAACTTGAAGATACAGCAATAGAAACTACCCAGAAATGAAACATATAGAGAAAGAAGACTGGAAAAAATAAAACGGAGCATCAGTGAGCTGTGGACCAACATCACATGGCATTTTGTATGTGGAATTTGCCTCCCTACAGGAGAAGGAAGGGGGAAAGAAAAAATATTTGAGGAAATAATACCTGAACATTTCACACATTTGATGAAAGTTATAAATCCACAGATCCAGGAAATTCAATGAATTTCAGCAAAAGAAATACATAGAAAACTACAAGAAGTTGCATCTCAAAAACAGCCATAGAAAAAAGACACATGAAAGGAATGAAAAATGACAGCACAGTTCTTGTTGGAAACAGTGCGAGCCAGAGACAATGGACAACATTTTAAAGCCCTGAAAGAACAAAGCAAAACAAAACAGCAATCTGTCAAACTAGAATTCCATCCTAGAGAAAATACCTGTAAAAACAGAAGGTGATATAAAAATACTTTTCATATGTACAAAAGCCATAAGACGTTATCACCAGAAGTCCTGCACCATAAAAAATGTTTGAGAAAGTCTTCCAGACAGAAGTAAAATGACAACAGATGGAAAAATGAAACTACACAAAAGAATAACGAGCACTGGAAATGGTAAAAATGTAGGTAAATAGAATTTTTAGTTTTAAAATTTAAAGTACAAATAATAATGCACTGTGGGTTTATGACAAATACAGAAGTAAAATATGTAACAATAATGGCACAAAAGCCAGGAGGCAGAAATGAAAACAAAATGTTGGAAGGTTCTTATACTCTAATTCCACTTGAAGGTAGACTGAGATAAGCTAACACGTATAATAGAAACCCAAAAGCAATGACTAGACAATAAAACAACACAAAACAAAATATGTGTGGCTAACAATTCCACAAAGGAGATAAGGTGGATTCATAAAAATTATTCAATGCAGAAGAGAAAAAAAAGATTGCTCAAAGAGAAAAAAAATTACTCAAAGAGAAGAGAAAAAAATTGCACAAAAAGAGATGAGACAAAGAGAAAACAAATTGCAAGATGGTCTACTAAAACCAAAACATATCAATAGTCATATTAAATATAAATGATAAAGGCACCAAAATCAAATAGCAGAGACTATCAAATTGAATAAAAAAAGCAAGACCCACATGTACACTGCTTATGCAAAGTCCACTTGAAATACAGTAGATACCAATCAATTAAAAGTGAAAGGATGGAAAACAATCTATCACACTAACATAAATATAAAGAAAATTGTGTTGTTATATTAATATCAGACAAAGTATATTTTAGAGTAAATAATGTAACAGGGATAAAGAGAATCACTTCATTAATCAAGGAGACATAAGAATCTTAAAGGTTTGAATAAATATCATTTTCTTTTAGAGATCCCCTCTGCCTGTATTTTATTTTTGTTTTCTAGAGAGTCTTGATTTGTTGCCCAGCCCGGAGTGCAGTGGCACAAGCATAGCTCACTCACTGTAGCCTCAAACACTTGAGCTCAAGAGATGA